GGGACTGAGTTTGCAGCTCGTCCCCCAAAAAGAAATCCATTTTAGGAAGTTTAGCTTCCTAAGCTAAAGGGAGAGAAGAAAGCGAGTCTCCCTCCAGGCAGCCCGGAGGTCTCTAAGGAGACCAAATGGGACAGTAGTGGGACTTGTAGCTTGGTTTTGCATGCTGGAGGGTTCCTCTCACCTGTCATGGGGCAGTGTGGTTCAGAACAAAAACTACTGCCTCTGGAGCCCAAGGTCCTGGGTTCAAATCCTGTCTCTGATTCCTACTGCCTGTAACGTTGGGTAAGTCACTCCATTCTGTAAAAGGGAGGTCCCTTCCAGCTTGATATCTAACAGCTTCTGAGCTTCCTCTCTGGGCACGTCCCTCCTCAAGGTTGGAAGCCCTCAGAGAGAAGAGGTTTGAACACTGGGAAGCCTCTGCCTGCCTGGGCACAGGGAACTGGAGAGCCCAGCCTGGCAATGCAGGTTTGAATAGTAACACGGGAAACCCAGCTCTTTTTCTGGCCAAGGACCTGTCCTTGCCCAGCCTGGCGTTTCCAGGAAGCTTGGGAGAGGGAGTGAGGGATGGGGGGAGGGAATGCAGAAGGGCTTCAGTGCCTCCCCCAGGCCGGGGCAGCCGGGGCAGCCAGGCTTCGTCCCCGGGCCCTTCCAGACACGACTCCAGGGCTGGGGACGCCTCAGCCAGGTTTGCTCGGAGAAGAGATCTGCGGCATCGGAGGCGGCCTCGTGCTCTGCTCTCAAGAAGCAGACTTCCCAAAGCGAGTTATCCTCTCCCCAACCGCAGGGCTTAAAATCCCTTGCAGAATGGACCTTTCAGCCTCAGGAGGCAGCAGCTCTCCCATCGCCAGAGGCCTTCCAGGGCCAGCTAGAAGGTGTTCCCACTTCTAGGGGGTGGGTGAGGACATCTGGTGGAAAGTACAGAGCTTGTAAAGTCTTGGTTTAGACCTGGTTTAGAATTCGCCCAGAAAAATTCCAGCATTCACCTCCCTTTCACCAGCCTCACTTTCTGTCTCTACAAAATGGGCATAATCAGATACTGTGGGGCAACCGTGAGGGTTGTGGCCCCAGACCCCATATATATATACTCACACGAAGACTAGGAAAATGCTTTGGAAACTTCGTGGTAATACAGAAATGGGGGCGGGAGAGTCATCCCTTTTGTTACTGCTGTTGATGACGGGGATCCCCTATCTCTTAGCAGGGCTCTCTCAGCGGAGTAGGAGAAGGCCTGGACTTGGGACTTGGAGACTTGTCCTGGGACAGGACTTGGCATAGGCCCCTTCACCCTTCTGTGCATCTCAGATCCCCCTCTGGCAGGCTGGTGAAACCAATGGATCCTTCCTCTAGATCATGTTTGTAAATGCCAAAAATAAAATAGAGCATGGAAATTTGGCTAGATGACGTCAGAGGATTACCAAGGAAACCAATTATATTGAAATATAGTTATCCCAATATTAAAAAAAAAAAGTTCATGGCCCCCAGGCTAAGATGGCTATGTGTCCTTCATCCTCGAAGAGGACCGTGACAGCAGGAAGGTGATGCCATGACATGCAAGTGGATTGGATTTGAGGGAGGGAGGGCTGTGCAAAGTCACCAGCCTCACTTTCTCCTCCGGAGCCTTCTGGGTCCAGTGGCCAGATATGGATCAGGACGACTGGAGGTGGCCCAGGATGCAGTGGGAGACCTTGGTCTTTTTAAGCTAAAGTCTTTAACAGGTCTCAGTTTGATGGAGGCAGTGCCCATTCAGTGATTAAGGCCTAATACAAAATGAGGCAAAGAATGGCCTCTTTAAAAAAAAAAATCGATCCGGGAAGGGAAGACCCTCAGGGTTTCTGGCCAAAATGGAAACATTGTTAGGCTGTGGCCAGTGTCTGCAATATGGATACCAAGCCAGAGGACACCATGGGGCTATTGCAGGCTGCCTAGAGACCCCGTCGTCCCGGTCTGTGGTAGGCATCTCTCCCACTCTGATCCTGGTCTTTCCCCAGGCTGAGAACCCTTGACTTGGAGAGACGTCTGTGATTGGCATCTGTGCCATCTGTGATGGCAGCCTTTAACTGTCCAGAGACGCGGCTTCTGATACCCAAGTGGACACCCACTTGGTTACTTCTCCGCTGACGTTCTAGGCCACTTCCAGGACATTTCCAGACTGAGCTACCTCTGGTAGCAACGTCCTTCTCACCCCCACACCCAGAGATAGAAATCTGGCTAGATCCCATCAAGGCCAAGGTTGAGCTGAGCCCGCTGCATAGATCTCTGAGCACTTGTGTTCTGATGGATGGGGTCCAACCCAGGCCTTCCTACTCCAAGAACCAGCTGGACTCAATCTGTTAGACCTTGGCTTCTGATGGGACCAGGCCACACTGACACTTCCCAGGCATTTCCAAGCCACGTCTGAACAGGCATTCATTCCCACCCCCACCCCCACCCAGCTCCCTTTTAGGGATCTTCGTCACCCTATTTGAACGGGAGCCCTTTGAGGGTAGGGACTGTCTTTGCCTTTCTTTATATCCCCAGTGCTTAGTACAGTTCCTGGAATACAGTAGGTGCTTAATAAATGCTTGTTAATTGTTTCGATGTAATCCTCTCCATTAGCCTAGATTTTACTCTTGCCACTTCCACAGTTACCAGTTTACTGAGTTTTAGCAAGTCCCTTCACTTTCCTGAGCCTCAGTTTCCTCATCTGTAAAAGGAGGGGGCTTCGGCTGCCCAACAAAGGAACATGCTATCTCAGAACAGGTGTGTATGATGATCAAATAAGATAACAAACAAATGAGGTACTGAAAAAAATGCTTGTGGAATGACTCCGTAAGAAAGTGTTTATCAAGTCATCATGGCTAGAGAGGGCTGAACTTGGAACAGGAAGTCCTGCTTTCAAATCCTGAAATCCCTAGAGAGGGAATGGGGGGAGAGGAAGGCCTTGAGCCCCTCATGCCTGCTACAGGCCAAGGCAGCCAAGACTTGTCCTCTTCCTAGCTGTCTGACCCTGGGCGGATCACTTAAGCTCTGTCTGCCTCAGTTTCCTCAACCGTAAAATAGAGATAATAACAGCATCTATCTCTCTGGGTGGTTGTAAGAATCAGAGGAGATAATATTTGTTAAGTGCTTGGCACAGTGTCTGGAGCATACAGTAGGTGCTATATACATGCTCATTCCCTTCCTTCCGTTCTCCTGTCACAGGGTCACTAGGCAGAAAAATGCTTTGCCAGCCCCCACGTGGTGGTTTCCCAACCTCCATAAGTAGGAGGGCCTTTTTTTTTTAAACATCATTTTAAAAAATCCTATCAGAGGATTACATTATCTGAACTGGATCACTGGTGCAGAAAATATACAACTGGTTACAGCCCCTTCTGTAATAACTTCGCCCCCTCCCCACACCTGTTGGAGGGGTCCAGGGCCCAGTTTGGTGGCCATGCTCTAATGCTCCCGTTATGAATGGGATTCACAGACTCTCTTCATGTCTACCCTTCACTGCCCTCTCCATCAAGGTGGCCCAGATGAGGGCATCAGCACCTGGAGAGTCACGCTGGACAGAATCCAAGGCTGGTTTCAGCCCTTCAAGGGGAGGAAAGGGGAGACCCATGAATGGACCGTGACATTAGCCATGTCCTGCCTCATTTCAGCCCCTTAGAGGGGATGGGAAAGGGGCAGGGCGTCAGGCATCTTGGGGCCCATGGAGCCCAGGACTGGGAAATCCCACCAGGATGGTGACCCCTCCACAGCTGATGTGCATGCCCAGATCACTCCTGGCTCTGTGGGGGCTCAAAACAGAGGGCCTGGATTGCTCAGAGTGGTCCAAACCCCATCAGCACTGAATGTCCATCACTGAATATATGCCCTCATCTACCCTGCACACATATGGGCTCACTGTCCAGTGAAAGCAGGTGCTACCCAGCAAAGGGCCAAGCAGGCAAAGCTTTGGGTTGGTATCATCACTGCAAGCGATGAAATCAACCCATCAGCACGCCTTTATAAAGTGCCTACTAGGTGCTAGAGCCTCGGGGCCTCGCGCCTGCTGCCTACAAGTCAGGGGCTTCCTCCACGGATACTGTATCTCAGCACAACCACCCAGAGGGCCCCCCATGATAGTACCCTTCACTTAGAGTGGCTTTTAGCACATCCTCACAGGGGTGGAGCTGCCTAACGAGGAGCCAGCACTGCCCTCCCCCACATGACGCGTCCACATTTGGACTGTCCTTGATGCCCCTCACCTCCCATGAATCCAGCCAGACACAAGGATTCTTGGCTAGACCTCTGGCCTGGCCTCCCTCCATGCTCAGGTGAGACCTCCAGCCTGTTACAAGGGTCGTGTGGCAGCTAGCTAGACGCGTGAACTTGACCACAACAGCGGCACTTACCCACCCCAAGTCTTTGCTTGGTTAATGCCTCTGGCTCGCCTGTGAACAAATCCGGGGATGCCAGCCCTGGCATCTCGACACCTCTTGCCATTTCTCTCCTTGACCCTGTGGGTCTCTCTTCCCCATCTTACCCCACACCCTGTGTCTCTCTGTCTCTATTTCTGTCTTTTCCTCCACTAACTGTGTGACTGAGTTAGAAGCAACCACACACTCCAGACCTGATGAGTTATGGAATACAGAAACACTTAACCTCAAGGCAGGGTCTCCAAGGCCAAGGAGAGCTGATAATATAGGACATTCGTAGTTGGGTAGAGGTGGGCACCAGGCAAGGGCAAGGGAGGGCGTCTTTGGTGACCCGGAGGGGAAGGCTCCATTCCCAACCCCTTGGGGACCCAGGTCCCACACCGGAGGACAGCCCCGGGCTCCCACCACAGCCCACGTCTGGGGTCGGTCTACTGCCGACAACCCGATGCCCCCATCTTTTTATTTTTATCACGACGCCTTCTCTCTACAGGTCCAGCTCTGTTCCACGCTCACGCTGCCCCAACAGCCGGAACAGAAGATTCCCATCACGTCACAGCGATGGAGGGGAAGGAGGGAGGCGGTGAAGGGGGAAGAGAGGATTGGCCGTGCGGGACTTACCATACACTTGTTGGGCTTTTCCCCGGAGTGGACCCGCATGTGAATCAGCAGCTTGTAGCGGGCGTTGAAGGGTTTGTAGCGCCGCACGCAGCCCGCCCAGAAGCAGGTGAAGTCTTCGCCCTTGCGCTGGTCAATATGGGTCTTCTCGATGTGACGCACCAGCTCCTCTTGCTGGTCATAGGCGGCGTCACAGTCGATCCAGCGGCACACCTGCCGCCCGCCCCCCAGCTCCAGCTCTTCTCCATCGCTGGGCGGCAGGGCCTTGGGGGAGCCAGGAAGGTGGAGGTGGGGGCCCAAGCCCTGCCCCAGCGGCTGATGCAGGTGGTAGGGGGGCGGCAGGCCCTGGTGAGGAGGGGGAGGATGGGCAGGAGGATACAGCTCTGGGTTGGAGGAATAGTCATCGACCGGCTCCTGCTTCAGGAAGCCTACCTTGTGGCCGGGGCCGCCGACGCCCCCGTGAGAGGCCTCCTGCTGGGGGACGGCCCCACTCACGGAGAGCCGCAGGCTGGCACCCTCACCCTCCAGGTGCTGCAGGGGCTGGATCGGCAGCAGGTCACGGTCCCCACGCTCCCGCTCGGCAGGGAGTGGGACGAGGCACGCCGGTGGTGAGGGCAGGCTGCAGGGGTGGCTGGGCGGGGGCCGAGGGGGCTTGGGTGCTCCATGCTGCGGTGGGGGGTTGGGGGGCATGGCTACGGGGCCGTGTCGGAGGCCGCTGACACAGGTAACTAAGGAGGCCTGAGGGGTGCGGATGATGGTGGTGATGTCAAGGCCCTCCACGGATAAGGGTGAAGAAGATGAGGTTGAGGAGGAGGAGGGTGGCGGCAGGATGGAGAAACAGCATCTCTTCCTGGCGCCTGCTGGGAAGCGGACTGGCGGAGGTGGTGGTGGAGGTGCGCCACTTCCCAAGGAGGTTGGGCCCAGAGCAGGATGCTCGCTGGTCAGCAGGTAGGATGGGGAGGGGTTTGTAAAGGGGCTGCTGCTCATGAGGTCAAGGTCAGCGTGCAGTCCGGGAGGGCAGGCCTCAGCAAACCTCCGGGGAGCTGAGAGGTCCGACCCGGCCTTGTAGTCGCTCACACACTCCTGCTTGATTTGCTGAGGAGGGTGGCTTCCTCCATTCATGCACAAGGGGTCCTGGAACCGGGGACACCTGGAACAGAGGGTCAGGAAGGGTCACTTAGAAGAAGACCAGATCAGGCCCCCAGGCCCCAGCCCAGGAGCTGAGCTGCTGCATATAACAGGTACCTTAAAGGGCAGAAGGAAAGAGAAAGGAGAGACGGAGAGAGGGAGAGAGACAGAGACAGAGACAGAGACAGACAGACAGAGAGGAGAGAGACAGATAGAGAGAGAGAGGAAGGGAGAAACAGAGAGACAGAGAGAGATGAAGATGGAAAGAGACAGAGAGAGGAAGGGAGAGACAGAGAGAGAAACAGAGAGAGAGAGAGAGAGAAATTGAGAAAGAGATGGAGACAGAAAGAGACAGAGAGTGAGTGCCTGGCACTGGGTTTGTGCTGAATAAATGCTTATGGGCTGCCCGGCTGCCCCCACAGAGCTCTCATTCTGATGGGCACATACAGGATCTCTGCAGTGTGAATAGAAGACAATCTCAACAGGACGGCACTAGCAGTGCTGGGCCACTGAGGCACTAGAACTACGGTGGAAAGAGTCTCAGATTTGGAGTCAGAGGTACTGGGTTCAAATCCCAGCTCTGACTCTTACTCCCTGTGTGACTTTGGGGAAGTCAGCCTCAGTTTCCTCCTTTGTAAAATGAGGGAGTTGGGATTGGTGACCTCTGAGGACCCTTCCCGATCCAGATCCAGATCCAACAAGGATGACCAGTTGTGTTGGGGGGGGGAGTGTCACATCAAACAGAGGGGGCAGATTGAGGGGAGACTGAAGGGGAGAAGCGAAGCGAGAGGATGGCTGCAGAATGGGTGGGTGGGTGAAAGCTCAGAGAGAAGGAGAGCGCTGAGGAGCTAGAGGGAGAGCAGCAAGAGAGAGAAAAGAGAGGGGCCAAGAGCACCATAGCGATGCCCTGGGGAGGGAGGAGAGGATGGCGAAGACCGAGCCCGACCCCACCGCCACGGTTCTGTTGTAAAGCACAAAGCGCCTGCCCGGCTTTGGATTACAGGCCCAGAAAGCAGATCGTGTTTTTTTAATCGGCATCTCTCCTCACCCAGGGCCCTGTCTGCGTCCCTGGCTCCGGCTGCCCCTGACCCCAAGGGCCCTGGGGGAATCAAGTTCCCAGGGCCCCGAAGGCCACATGGTCGGTGTCCTGAGGGAGCTGGGTTGCACACCACTTCGTGAGACGCCTTGGAGACATGGAAATCTGTTTTTAATTTTAAATTCTTCTTCGATTTTTCCCTGACTCAGGCATTTTAAAAATTGCAATCTTCTTCAAAAATTTTTAATTAAAAAGCTGTTAATTATGTCAACTGTCACCCCAAGCAACCTGCCCCTCTTCCCCGTTTCACGGAGGGCTTCCACTTTGCCTCTTGCTTGGGCGACGGTCCAGCCTCCTCGCTGAGGGGCTCCCCCCAGAGGCCCCTCTGTCTCCTGTCCACACTCCACCTCTGACCCGAGGAGCTGCTCTGTCCATCTCACATACCTACTTGTGAACATGCTGCCTCCCTTGGTAGACTGTAAGCTTCTTGAGGGCAGAGACTATTTGCGCTTTATGTTCTCACTCCTCAGCCCTATGCCCAATATGCCCAGCCCAGAATAAGTTCTTAACAAATACCGGCTGATTAATTGAACACATCCCTCTGATACTAAAGTCCAACATCTTCCATAGCTCCCCACGACCTATGGGGTCAAGGACAGCCTCCTCCACCTGGCACTCGAGGCCTCTGTAATTGGATTTCAGTTAACATTTCCACCCTCACTACACCACTGTTCCCTAAATTCTCTTCTCAGGACAAACTGGACGATTAGTCATTAGCCATCCCCTTCTATCTCTGACCTTTGTTAACAGTATTCTAGACATGCATAAAATTCTCCAGCTCCTCTGCCTCCAACTCTCGCTTTTTAAATTAAAAAAAAAAAAAAAAACCAAAAACCTCAATCCTTTAAGTATGTAACCTGTTGCCCTGAGCAACCTGACATGCTTCCGAGTTTAACAGTAGGGCCGCCCCATCACCTCTGACCTGGGTTACCTATTCAATTACAGCTCACATTGACAGGGCTCTAAAGGTTAAAAGAGCTTTATGCATATTTTTCCTCTGTTCCTCAAAAGCATTCAAGTGAAGGTTATTCCCATTTTACAGATCAGGAAACTGAGGTTAGGTGACCTGCTCAGGATCACACAACTCGCATCTGAGACAGGATTCAAACTCAGGTCTTCTGTACTACAAAGCCAGCAGTCCATCCACAGTGACAACCAGCTTCTAAAAGGCCTTACTGCCCTCTACTTCCACCAGAAAAGAGACTTTTTCAAGCGTTTAGGGACTTCAGTCAGAGAAACAGGGATGCTTTAGACCTAAAGAGCCCAGGAAGGTTCCTCCCCATTCTAGCCTCTTGGGAGACTAAGACTTCCACGAAACACAGATTCGAAGGGCTCAGAACCCCAGGAGGTTCCGGCTGGGCCTGAGGTCCTTAGGGATCCTCTCCAGACAGTCTTCCTATTTCACAGAGGCTCAGAGGGCTAAGTGGCTTGCCATGGTCACTCAGCTACCAAGGGGCAGAGGTAGCCTTCACACCTGCATCTTCTGACTCCAGAACCGGGGCTGGATTTCCCAAGACTGAACTAGCTCCTCCCACATGGCACGTCTGGCTCTGCCAGAACTCCAGGCCAAGACTCTGAAAACATCTCGCTGGGATCTCTGCCCAGGCTGCACCATTTCACACAGAACAAGATGGAAGATGAAGACATTAAATTGGATACTCCCAACCTCACGGGGTGCTGGAAAGAAGGGGAGCTGGACACCTCCAAATGTCGCAGGGATGGTAGTCACCATTACTACTAGTAATCAGTTAGGATCTGCACCTTCTAATTTCCCCTCCATGGTGAAATCATCTCTCTAGGAACCCAGGCAAAATGAACTGTCAAAGACTGGAAGTGAATGGAACCAAAGAGGTCTTCAAATCAAGGCCAACCTCCTCATGTTTTATGAGAAGAGAAGAGATTTTTCCAAAGCCTCATGGCAAATTTGTGGCAAAGCTGAGAAGCATCAGACCACCTCCCAGGTGGGAAATAGGAAATCTAGGTTTTCTCCTTTTTCAGGAAAACAGACTTACTCTTATTTTATTCTGGGCAAAGAGATTCTTGTCAAGTGTATTACATGTGTACGTGTGTGTATATGTATATATGTAAGTATATATGTACATGTATATGTGTGTGTATTTGTATATGTACATATATGTGTGTACATATGTGTGTATATAAGTATACATGTGAGTATATATGTGTGTATGTATGTGTATGTATTGTGTATATATGTGTATGTGATGGAGAGTCTCTTCAAAGAAATAGAAGTTGTGAGAGAGAGAAGAAAGAATTTAGAACACAAAAAAGCAAAGGAAAATTTAACAAGAGAAGCAAAAGGCAACAATGTTACAAGTCCAAGGGAATTTTAAAGGAGCTGAAGCAAAGGCCTTTGAAGGTAGAATGTGCAGAGATAACTTGGGAATCTAAGAATGGATTTCCCAGAAAAATATCACAATTTAAAAAAAAAAAACGAATTCTGTAATGCAGAAAATAAAGAAAAATTTCTAAAACTTCTTAATGCGGATAATAACAAAGCACTGATCAAGAGAATACACAAACTGCCTTCTTGTGTGTGCAGACCCTTTCTCCTTCTTTCTTATTGCCATTGCCTTGCTCAGTGGCACATAGTAGGTGAACAAAAGTGAACTGAAAAAATACACCTGGAGTTCACCCCAGCCACTGCCGATTCTTCTGGGCTTCATCACAAAAATCCAAGTTTCCCTCTCTGACAAATGAGGCAGTCAGACAAAATGACCTTTCAAGTCCCTTCCAGCTCGAATATTCTCTGATCCCCTGTACCAATGGCAGTGATTAGACTGTCTTGGGCTTAAATGAAAGCATCAGAAACACGACGGGATAATGTGGGGAAGAGAAGAGCCCTGGGGCTGAGATTAGAACACCTAGACTCAAAGATTCTGACTCTGGATCCCACCTCAGCCACTCACAAAACTGTGGGAGCTTAGGCAAACCTCTTCCCTCTCTGGGCCTCAGTTTCCTCCCCTGTAAAAAGAAGGGGAACCCACTAGATAATTTCCAAGGCCCTTCCAGCCTTCACATTTTATATTCTAACAGTCTGTAAGCAGCTGTCCTTTCTGGCTTTCACATCCGACAATTCTATTTTTGCCTCAAAGAGTTCCATGGGTGGAGATTTTGCCACGTCTTGCCGACTCCCTGCTAGCCCATCTAGGTGTCCCCACCCCCTCCAATACATGCCCCCCCAAACAAAAAATCAAAAACAAAGGTACTCAGTGCTCTAATCCACTGGATCAAGAGAATACCACCACGCTAGCCTCACCACAAAAATGAAGGTGTGGGATTAGGCTAGATTGCAGAGCATAGGAGGGAAAGTAATGTCTAACTAGTCTAGATTGGAGCCTGGCTTTAAAAGCTAAACTGGATTGACATGTAATCCTAGAGGCAATAGGGAGCTCAGGGAGTCGATTGAGTGAGGGAGTCACATTGCTGGATCTGCACTTTAAGGCAAATCTTTTTGGCAGCAAGTGTAGACTGGGCTGGAGTGGGGAGGGATGTGAGGCAGGGACACCATTAGGGGGCTGTCACAATAATCCAGGTAAGGGGTGATGAGGTAGCTTCCCACTGTGGGAGTGGAGAGAAGAGCTGGAATGTGAAAAGATACAGAGGCAGAAAGGTCAGGGTCTGGCACCTGACTGGTTCATGGGGTAAGGGAGAGTGAGAAGGGGAATGTCAGCATCACCTCCCTTAAACACTAGAAGGACTGTGGTACCTTTGACAGACGTGGAGTGGTCTAAAAAGGGGAGAAGGGCTCAGGGGGTAGGAGAATGAGCCCAATTTGGGGCACAGTAAGTTTGAGACATCTCCAAGAAATCCAATCGGCAACTGGCAAAATGGGACCAACGCTGGAGGAGAGACAGGGCTGGAGGGACAGATCTGAGGGGCATCTGCATAGAGATGATCACTGAACC